AAAGTGAATTTTTTACTTCACGTTGACTAACATCCTAGATTGAACTGAGAGTCAAGGCATGGGTGGAGACTTATGTCATCCACACTTCCTGTTAGGAACCCGCTTCTGAAAGAAGCGTCACCTGGCGGACCGAGAGAGCATCGCTGAGGTATTGATAGGTGCCACCCCCTCAACCCCCCCTCGGTCGGAGTTTCTCCGCATTAACGTGCGCACTCGCATGTGCACGCAAGCACACACTCACAGTAGACTTACCACTCAGGAGAAGAGCAGACACAGACTTTGCAGCATTCTGGAGGACGTACTGTTAACCGCGATCATTAAATGAAAAGGGGGAAGGGCATTTTTTTAAGGTGGCAAGCGGCTCAGAGTGCCAGCGTGTCACATCGGCAGGTGAGTGGTTGAGCCAGGTGGAGGTGCGGCTGCCTCACCTGGAGACCAGTGCAGTGCAGCCACGTAGTCATTTGCTGACGTCACACTTTTCAGCTTAGCTTTCAGCCGCAGCTGGTTCTGAATAAATGTGGAGCAGAGTTTTAACCTGAAGATGGAGATAGAATTACGGTTTGGGGCTGAAATATTACATTTAAAGCAAGTTGCACTAAACTGCCACACTAATGATTACACGTCTGCAGCACCATTAAACACGCACCTGTACAGGTAATCAGCAAAACTAGTTAATTTAGGCGTTACTCGCTCTTTAAATAGTCTTTAAAGAATGCACATCACACAGTTTATGCATAATGTCGCTGATGTCAATGAAGCATGAGTTTCAAATCAAACGTGCCATGTAACGTCCTTCCTTTGCGTTTCTTTGCAGACTTTTGTCAACGATGTGAGAATACAGGAGCAGATCTACATCACACTGAAAACTGAAGACAGGTTGAGGTTTGGATACGATATCCTTTGTGTATTTTCTGTTGTGAGCTGTCAGATCACGTGGCACAAACAGGATACAGGCAGCACTTGTAACGCTATCTCCTCTGGCACAGATGTGAATGGTCACTGAACCTTTCCTGCTGCATAATAGATGAGCCTATCAGTGCATGCTTCTCACTCCTGCACCTTTTACCTTAACCTGCCTCACATACCAACCTGTTCACCGTGGTTCGAGGAGAGCTGCACATTCCCGAGGAGGCCCTCAAGGTTAGATGGCATGCTGCGCTGCAGAAAAGAAGCAGCTGAAGTTCACTGAGTGGGTTTGCCTGCTCAAAACATTGCAGCCTTGTGCTGTCAGAGGAGTCAGAGATTTCTGCTGACCTGGGGAAGCGCTTCAGAGCTGATGACATTTCTGTTTCACCATGCCAAGCTGCTCAGGTAGAAGCAGGGAATTGGTTTTTATTTTCTACTCTAAATGTCATCACAGCACGAGAAGTTGAGCATCCAGCTTCAGCTGATCCAGAAGAAAGCTACGGGGGCAGGATCGTCCAAATCAGAGGAGAAACCTTCTGAAGCTGCAGCGACACACGTGTGTGACAGCAGCGCCACCAAACCCTCAGAGGACGGCAGGGCAGAAGATAAAACTTCAGGTGAGATAAAACTTCAGGTGAGATAGAAATACAAGGAGTTTATTGCATATAGTATATAGATCCTTAACTAGTAAAACTTAAGCTTGATGCTCCCGTTTCCTCCAGAATTATTCTTATCCAAAGACTTAAATGTCTTCAGGCAGCTGGTGTTTAACTGTTTACTCAGTAAATGAACATGTAGAACAAAAAAGTTAGTGCAGCAGCAATTAAAGAAAAAGAGAGGAAGATCACTCCCCCTCTTGTCTCTCCGTAGACCCGCCCCTTTATGGCTAGGGCCCGCCCACATTGTCCAGTAAATCCAAATACGTTTACGGGAACACTTTTTCGAAGGCTTTACAAATGCAGCAAAAACCAACAATAGAGATGCACCCGGGTCAGGGATGAGGTCCTGCCTCAAGTGGAGGAGTTTAAGTATCTCGGGGTCTTGTTCACGAGTGAGGGAAAACTGGAGCGTGAGATCGATAGGCGGATTGGTGCTGCATCTGCAGTGATGCGGGCGTTGTACCGGTCTGTCGTGGTGAAAAGAGAGCTGAGTCAGAAGGTGAAGCTCTCGATTTACCGGTCGATCTACGTTCCTACCCTCACCTATGGTCACGAGCTTTGGGTAGTGACCGAAAGAACGAGATCACGGATACAAGCGGCCAAAATGAGTTTTCTCTGAAGAGTGGCTGGGCTCTCCCTTATAGATAGGATGAGAAGCTCGGTCATTCGGGAGGGGCTCGGAGTAGATCCGCTACTCCTCCACATTGAGAGGAGCCAGTTGAGGTGGCTCGGGCATCTGGTCAGGATGCCTCCTGGATGCCTCCCTGGTGAGGTTTTCTGGGCACGTCCAACCGGGAGGAGACCCAAAGGTAGACCCAGGACACGCTGGAGGGACTATGTCTCTCACCTGGCCAGGGAACGCCTTGGGATTCCCCTGGAGGAGCTGGCCCAAGTGGCTGGGGAGAGGGAAGTCTGGGCCTCTCGCCTTAGGCTGCTGCCCCCGCGACCCGACTCCGGATAAGCGGATGGATGGATGGATGGATGGATAGGTGGGTGGATGGATGGGCCTGCGGAGGACTGTAAAATTAACCCTCTATGAACCAAAGTTGTAATATTGTGTTTAACGAGCCGCAGCTGCAAATATAATCCCTCATGAAGTCATTCTTTTACACCAGAAGACAGTGGAGATGTGTAACTTCAACCTGAGCAACACTTGTGGATGTTTCCATTGAAATCTTTGGAGTTTATAGAGTTTGAAAACTACCCCCTCCCTGTCAGAGGCTCTCGACTGCGGAGAGGAGATGAGCGGAGCACACAGAGGGTGACTATTCACATATATTAGAGGAGAAACTTGCTGCTGACAGGGCTGTTCATCGTTAACAAGCTCAGTCTGGTAACGTCTGACTCTGAGGAGTAATATTCACCCTCTGATGAAGATATCACTCGTCCAGTGAGGAAGACGCTGCAGCTGAGCAGCGGCAGCAGCATGGACGTAATTTTCACTTTGGAAGTGGGGGGGACATGGGGTGGGGGGTATCTTTACAGTATGCTCAAATAGGAAACAGGCTTCAACACTAACGGTTGTTTTCTGCTTGGTCCTAGAGCTCAACTAGTGTCAATTTAATATAGCGTAACATTGTTTTTGGATGGTAAAAAGTGCAGGGGTCAAAACATGACTTTGGAAAAAGTGGGGGGGACATGTCCCCCCCCCCCCCCCCAAATTACGTCCATGGGCAGCAGCGTCTGTGTGCTTCATGAGAGTAAACGCTTCACACACACGATCCAGAGCTGATTTCTCCGTGTTCAGGACATGGTGGCTGTAGGAAGGACGGTAAACACACCGCTAATAGAGACAGACGTAGCAGGAGTGTACAAGAAGAAATAACAGCCGGGCAGACGCGGTGGATGTGAAACCGAAACGTGCATCACATAATGCACAGGAATGTTCCAGCGGTCGTAATAAACAGCTTTACTAGAAGGAAAAATGATGAAAATGAGCAAGACTCCACCCCCATTATTCATTGTCTTCCTCATACTAGAGACCACAGCAGAGGTAGTGAAATAACCAGTGAGTGGCTCTCCTCGTGTAGGAGACTAACTTGTGAACCGCTCGTTGACAGGAGACGTGGCGGTGCTAAAAAGAGGAACTCCTCTCTACGGTCAGCCTGCTTGGTGGGGAGATGAAGACGCTGCTGACCAGAACCCAGGTAGACCTGAAGAAAAGAGCTCCGACAGGAAGAAAGAAAAGGCTGAAACAGGTGTGATCGAGATAAACGCTGCTTCTTTTTCACTTCTGAATTTATTACTTTTACTGGATTTCTATAGATTCCATCTGTATGTATTTATGTATTTCAGATGCAAAGAAAAGTACCAAGATCTCAAAGCCCACCCCACAAGCAGCCTCAAACCAAGAGCCAAGCTACTTTGAAATACCGACTAAGGAAGCAGGTCAAATGGGAAAAGACGCGTCCTCACAAGAGCAAGCAGCAGCGGCTTCTGGTGCTTCAGAACCCGTCCACGGTCACGCCTCCTTCACCATCCAGTTTGACTCTGGGGCACCAAGTAAAGTGACTGTCAAAGATCGAGTGGCGAAAGTGGGGCCCGAGGCCCGGCCAAGGCCTAAAAGTGCTGCTGGAGAGGAGCTGAGTCCACTTCAGACAGTTATGGTGGCGGCGGAGGTGAAAGTGGCAGACTGGCTGGCCCAGAATGAGCTGCCGCTGACTCTAAAAGAGACGGTAGCGGAGGATGATGGGGAGAGCGTGAAGAGCGATGTACCAGTTCATCTGAGGAGTCTCAAAGGTAAGGGCAGGTAACGGTTGTGTTGAGCTCGTCACACTTTCACGAGGGTCTAAGTCTGTGACTTTGTCTGACACGTGCCAGGCAGTAAACACGAGGACGGCACTCAGAGCGACTCGGAAAACGCTCTCGGCGAGCAGCGGAGGTCCGCAGCCCTGGAGGAGCGCTCGTGGGGGCTTTGGGGCGGCGGCGCTGGGATGAAGATCAGAGAAGGTCGTGCAAACGTACCCGAGGGTCTCTTCACAGAGGAGGACAGCCCCGCACGCCGTCGCAAGTCTGCAAACGCAAAAGGGACTAGCAGATTAGCTGACAGGCGACGTGGCTCGGCGCCACATCAGCAGAGTGGGCCCGAGGAGCGTTGTCGTCATGGTGATGACTATAGTGACAGGGGAACGTACACCATTGAGCTGGAGAACGGGGACCATGAGGAAGAAGAGGCTAGGAAACTGATAGACAAGGTAAAGAGGAAGTAAAGGCGTGATGCACGTGTGGGCAGTTAAGAGTTTTGATGTGTGTGGGCATCTGTCAGGTGTTTGGTGTGGATGAGCAGTGTGGTTCCAGGTCGGGAAGAACCGGGCAAGGAGAAAGGATCACCTCCCAGAGATCTGGTTCTCGAGACAGAGGGAAGCCGGAACGTTTGGATTCAGAGGTGCTTCCGACTCAACGTCACTACACCTGGATCTGTTTTCAGCCGTAGATCAGCGCAGTCTGCTTTACAACCACCATTTTATGTCCTTCGTGTTTCCTTGATTCAGATCTTTTCTGAGGAGCTGATGGTGGGAGGTCCTCGCTGGGTGTCACAGTGGGCCACGCTGGCTGCCAGCCACATCAGGACAGACCCCGAGGGGTCGGGGTGCGACAGCCACATGCCCATGACAGAAGACAGAGGTACCGGGACGTGGCTCTGTGCACGAACACTCGTTAAAACCGTTCAGGTCCCAGTCGTCACTGACACAAGTTCTTGTTCTGTGTTGTCAGCTGGCATCAGTGAATCCAGCCACATAGCCTCATTCAGCTCCTCTGGGCACACTGAGCGTAAGAGGAGAACCCTACCTCAGCTGCCTAATGAGGAGGTCATCCTTGGAAGGAGGACCCCAGGTGCAGGCCTGCAAGTAGATATGGGGGAGAAACAAGACACAGAGCTTCAGGAAAAAGAGAACCAAGATGAGAAGTTTTCCCGCGGGAAGAATCAGCCTGGTCACGGCACCGGAGGTGTTGGTAGTCACGGCAGCAGCCCCAGTCGCTCCTCTCCTGCCAAATCGCAGGACAGCGGTGGAGGGAGATCGGGTGTGCTGACCAGACTCCCCCCTCGTCCACTGACCAGTGGGGAAAAGAGGATGGAGGAGGCACGGAGGAGAAAAAAGAATGAGGAGAAAAACAAGGAAGGAACTGGGAAGCCCTTCCTGAGACAGGAGAGTTTCACTGTGGAGAAACCGAGCTCCGGCGTGCCCATTGAGCTTATACCGCGTATCGATGGGATTACAGGCAGCAGAACTAAGGAGGCTGATGTTGACTGTGTCGTTCTGCAGAAAGACTCAGAGGCTGTGGCAGCTTTTCTAGAAACTACCGTTTCAGACCAAGGCGATCCGCCTAGTCAGTCCATCGAAGGCTCCGTGTCTCCAGAGTCTGATGTGGACACGACAAGCACAGTAAGCCAGGCAGACGGAGCAAGGAAAGTAGTCCAGAAACGCCGAGCACTCGCTGGGCAACAGAAGGAGAGAACGGTTGTGTGTTCACCTAACAAGGGCTCCGCTGGGGCCAGAGAGGCTCAGGACCGGAGGGTTAAGAACAGAACATCTGGTCCTCAACAACCTAGCCGCCCCTGGACGTCTCTGGATCTCACGGACGATGATGTCAACTCCAACTCACTCCTTTCAGACTCTCAGCCGCCATCTACACAAGAAACCCGTGGCTCCAATACTAGAGCTCAAACTGGGAGCTCAACAGTTGAGACCAGCACCAAAGGGAACCGGGCTAAGATCACTCAGACTTCAGCTCCCCCCGCACCCAGTAAAACAGCTAATGTTCCCAAGCCCAGACCCACTCGGACATCCCTGTTGAGACGCGCCCGTCTGGGAGAGTCATCAGATGCGGAGCCCGCTGAAATGGACCGGCTTTCAGTGGCCTCTGAGGCCTCCACCACTAGTTCCGCATCCAGAACAGGGATGGCGAGAAGAGGAATGTCTAGGATAGAGGCTCTGGCACAGCCGAGGAGACTGAGGGTGGGGTCTCCGTCTGCTCAGAGCGACTCTGAGGCCACTGTCACAAGAGGCCGAGGTCAGGGGGGTCGCAGTTCAGCAGGTGATCACGCCGTCAGACAAGGATTAAGAGGAACCAATGTGGGTTTGGTGTCTGGACCCAGAGCCAGAGCCAACAGTGCCTCCAAGCTGCCTGATAAAAGCAAAGGAACATCTTCTTATGGCCATGTTACACCTGCCTGTGAGTAAGAAGACCACATCACCACGTTCACATAAAACCGTCTGTCAAAGAACTTCATTGGTTTAATGAAATACTGAGTAATAAATAAAGTGCTTCATTATAAAATATCCAACTCAATTTCCTCCTCAGCTGGCACGCGGTGGCGCCGCGTTCCTGTGGAATACGCTTCCACCTCTGAGGACGAGTATGGCTCCAATCGCCACAAATCCAATAAGGGTCGGACGAAGCCCTTTCCTTCAACTCGAGTGGCCCAGTTAGGAGGCTCTGCTCCGGCAACACCCAGCCCTGCAGGCCTGGCAGCCTTCCAGCAGAACTCCAGGGACCAGGAGGACCATGTGAGAGACTGGACAGCCCACAGTGAGGAAATAGCCCGGTGAGTAGGTGAGAAGTCCTGTAACACAGCGGCGATGACTCACGCCATCTATAAGCTTTCATACACAGAGATGAGGGATTTACATATCAACAAATTAAAGGAAGAAAATGAAATAATTAAATGTACTTTTTTTGTTCATCAGGATCAGCCAAGACTTAGCTAAGGACTTAGCCATGCTCGCCAGAGAGATCCATGATGTTGCAGGAGAGATCGACTCAGTCAGCCCTGCAGCAGCCGATCCTGGAGCTGTGGTACGCCCATCACATCACCACTTGCTTGCTCCCACTTTAAAATAACAAGTTCATTCTTTATTTTCTGTGGACTGGATTTACTGTGTTTTTTATTAAATATTTTCTGAGGAAATAACTCCATCATTTTGCAGCTGGAGGAATCTATGTTTGATGACGGCTTGGAGCCGAGTGGTCCCTCCACAGAGCACAGCGGCATTCTGGGAATGAATGGGAGGACTGTGGAGCTTCGACAACGGAGCTCTAACGAGCACGGCTCCCGATCGATCCGCCGACAGACGTGGAACAGAGATGACGTGAGTGATTTTGTTTAAATGCAGCGTGCCGTTATTAGATTTTGAAATGGTTGCAATGTTCCGGGACGCTGGTTCAGTGGTTCTGATTCTGAAATCTGAACCGCTGCACCTCCTCTTCAGGAAGGAGTTGAAAGCTACGCCTCAGACTGTGTTTGTGCACACAAAAAGCCTTGCAAGGCTAACGGATAAGTAATGTTTTCAGTATGTTCCTGCTCAGAAACACATCTCCTCAGCCATCATCAGGCTCTGCAGGAGCTGCTAATCACTGGTTTTAAACAAATCTGCAGCGTTCAAGCAGGGAAACCTCTAAAACTGGCAGGAATCAGGCACTCGTGGTGCTGGCATACCTCTGCTAATGCTACAACAGGCTAAAACAATCATATGATGTAGCAGCATAAGGTTGAATGCTACGCTAATTGCTTAGCCCCAAAACACAAAAGATAAGTCCCTCCCTCCTCTTCTACGGTTAGCTTGATGGTTTCAGTGCAGGTCGAGTTAGTGTTCAAGCTAGGTTGGTGTGCCAAACTGTGTAGTGCACGCTGGGAACTGGGTCGCATTCTCGTTGATTGATGGCTCCCTCTAGTGGATACGAAACTTTGTTAGTCCACGCTCATTTTAGTTTTGCTTTAGAGGCCAGGGAGGTACTTAGAGGAAACATATGTCGGTTATATGACCGAGCATGCCCTGGCTTTAACCCTAAATGCACACAGGAATGGTGAGCTTAACCTTCTCAGTGGCCTAGTTGTGAAGTTCCCGCCCTGGGACTGGGAGATTGGGTTTCAAATCCCGGTCGGGTCTTGCCAAATTAGACTCAGGGTGTTTCTCAATGCTAAGGAACCCCGCCTTGATGTCTTTGCCCCGCCCGGTTGCCTAGGAGATTCGTCATCAGGAACTGCCAAGGTGTGCTCCAATGCTCATGTTCTACCGAGGCGTGTGTTCTCTGTTTGTTAGCCGTTTAGCTAGCTGAGCAAGGATAACCAGGAGGTGTAGCCTAGCCTTGGTCAAAAATTACCCAGAATACACCGCAGTATTTTCAAAAGGATGGAGGATCAGAAGTCGGCAGCTACTTCAGGGGCAAATTTTCAAGTTTAAATGTAAATCAACTAATTGTAGCTATCAGGCTGATATCTAAAACATGTTTTATATACAAAGCAGTTAGCTGTGGCTGGTTAGTTTCAGCGTCAGTGGCTAGCAGGTGGGAACTCGCTTACATATTAAATTTAACCAATATAAGCACAATTAAAAATAAAAGGCTCGTTATATGTTTATATTGAAACTTATATGTATAAAATATAATGTTATCTACCGTGACACGTGACGTTACGTGACTGCCGTGGTCACGTGACGCAAGTCTGTTCCATTTAACTGTTTTCTTTGACCAAGGAAGGACTGTGTCCTCGTAAGCAAGGACGTAATTTTCACTTTAGAAGTGGGGGGACACGGGGGGGGGGGGGGGGGGGGTATCTTTACAGTATGTTCTAATGGGAAACAGGCTTCAACACAAACAGTCGTTTTCCGCTTGGTCCTAGAGCTCAACCAGTGTCAATTTAATATAGCGTAATATTATTTTTGGATGGTAAAAAGTGCAGGGGTCAAAACTTGGCTTTGGAAAATGTGTGTGTGGGGGGGGGGGGGGGGGACATGTCCCCCCTGTCCCCCCCCAAAATTACGTCCATGCTCGTAAGCAAGGCGTCTGGCCTCGCAAGACGTCGCCTTGTGAGGCTAGGAGACATGACACTGTGAAACACCCTCAGCTTAAGGTGTTGGATTGGGGGTTAAACCACCCAATAGTTCCCGTGCGCAGCCACTGCTGCAGCTCACCGCTCCCCACAGGGCTGGGAGATGTAATTTCACCCGTATGTGATGACTAATGGGACTTTAACAGTGGTTTAAAACCTCTCTAATGCAGTAACTATGAAAACATTAATCTCCTCAATGCCAAACTGAGTCTGATCCCCAGCGTTCCACTAGAGGGCGCTACGTTTTGACAGTTTCCACACAAAAATCACAGACTTACTGGTTCTTTTTGCAACTCCTTGCATAATTAATTTCTTAATAAATGTAGCTGCTTAGTTTGAACAGGAACATGAAACACGTGCATGTAACAGAGAAAGCTCACATGATTCAGCCAGAGGTCAGCACGTCACGCTCTCCTCAGAAAAACGAATGAACTGCAGCTGTGATTGCATCTGCTCAGCTGACGTGTGACACATTGCTGCTCACAGTTTGACAAAGAGAGTCCCACTGAACCGGATCTGCTCGCAGCATCAACACTAAATAATCCACGTTAAAACCGTTTTTTCTTTATTCGTCTACCAGGCGGTCCTGGACAGCGTTCTTCTGTCGTCGGTAACCCAACTCTCATCTAGGATCCGTCAGTCTGTTGACAAAACAACCTGCAAAGTCAGGTGAGTGGGAGTAACGCGTAGGTGATAAAAAGTGTAACGGCAGAATAAAACCATTAAAATGAATTTATACCACATTAGGATTTGTATCTTTGTTTATGCTGGAATGAAGCCGGCTGGTCTGGGGCTTTTTCCTTCAAGCAGCAGCATTATTCTCAATACAAAGGATTTTTACAATCTGCTGACAGGACCTGGGTGAAATATTCTCAACAGCTGACGTGTCTAAAAATATCTAAATTCAGCATGTTTTCATGTATTTTTACACTCATCTATTTTTGAAACACCTTCAAGGATCCTCTTCAAGGATAAAGAGCGGAAATGGGAGGAGATGGAGTCCAAACTGCAGGCAGAGAACGACTCCCTGCTGCTGAAGAGCTCCAGCAAGGTGATTTACGTTCGTGATTCACGTTCATGATTCACGTTCATTTACCTAAATGGTTCTTGAGTTTTTAAGGAACTGCTTTGAGATTCACACAGTCAGAAAATGAGCTCAAATATGCAACAAAAGAGGTGCAAACTTGTGTAAACCTTCAAAGCATTTAAACAAATCATCGGATTTTGTAATTTAGGGACTTTTTTTGAGGAATTATCGAGTTATTTTACTTCCAAATGAAGTTTACTTTTCTAATATTGTTTCAAATATTACAAATCTGATTTTTGATTCAAACAGTAAAGAGAAAAAGAGACTGGGAGAAGTCCAAGGAAGTGTTGCGAATCCCCCAAATATCTAACGTCTAAAAGCACACGCCCTCTAGTGGCCGGCTGCGGTACACGTTTTAAGCCCCGCCCTCTTCATCTAAACAAATGGGACTAAATAAAAAAACGTGTTTCTTATCAACTTTTGCCCAACAAAGGTTGATAGACACGCCTTTGTGTGGTTTAGCCGTGGAGAAAGGCGTTCACCTCCACAAAGGTTCTGCCTCTGAGCAGAAGGAGTAATTAGGCCTGACCGTCATCACGTGAACCCCTGAAGAGGAATGTTTGACCGAACTACTCGTGAAGCATCAGCGAGTACGAAGGGCTCGGCGCCAAGCCTCTCTCTGCAGCAGTGAAGAGATTAATCCAGCATATTAATTTGGTCTGTGAGCTTTCAGTTACTTAATCATGCCTTCGGCTGCACTTTATTCTTTTTTTATGTTCTTTACAGGAAATCTCAACAATTATTCAAGACCTGAAGAGAGTGGAAAGGCAACTAACAGGTATGGACAGATGATGAAATCCTCACATTTTGCTAGAGGAAAACTTCAGTACTCGTTTCACGAGCTCATTCTGCTTCAAAATGACAGTCATTGACGTGATGGTGGACCCAGATGGTACCCTGGATGCCCTGTCCAATTTAGGCCTGACGAGTCCTCTAATTGACCAGAAGCTCAGTCCTGGGACTCAGCAGGGCGCGCCGGAGGTGCATCACGCAGCAGAAGTGGCTTCATCCAACACTCGCTCGACCTCCAGGCCTGAAGGACGATCCAGTGAATGCTTTGGATCCTCAGAGCACTCTGGAGTGTCAGAGCGAGACCCAGGGACCCAGCAGGACGCTTCATCCTACAACTGACCAACCAGTGAATCATTTCCTGATGTGAGCTTTAGGAGAGACCTGACCTGACCGACAGACTGTGGTCTGAGGATTTTTGTGTTTTTATGATGGAAACCAAAGGCAAGGTGTGTGTTGGTTCCTCTGGGAGAAGATTAAGCTTCATTAAAGTAAATGGTGTCGGGTCTACCCCACATGCTGTCAGAGGGCAGCCGGACAGATAAACTCCTGTAAAATCTGATTTTTGTGCCCGTTTAAAGGATCAATAACTCTGCAGCTAATTCTTATCAGCAAATATCGCTGAATATGTGACAAAATGATCCGTTCTGATGCTAACGTTCAACTTTTTAAGCCCTTTTTAATGCTGTCGCTCTATCTTTGAAGTAATTATTCCTATTTGACAATCGTAACGATAACACGGAAATCAGAAATGGTGTCAAAACTGAAATCCGCTCGTCTTTCTTTCCTGTTGCCATAAAATTATCTATAAAAAAATCAAAACATATTTTTATCTTGGTAGTGATCCAGTTAATTCCTGTTAAAAAAAATGGTAAAAATATTTTTTAACCTACAAACTTCCCTAACGTCTGTTTTCTTGAGCTTGGGCGCATCAAAGGCAGGCCGTTTTTACATCAGCTGAAAGCAAAAGAAAACTAGCGTAGCTCCCAGTGAAGGTTTTCCCCTCTAAACTGCATTTAGTCACAAGTGGCCTGGATGAAACCGTCGCTGCAGACCCAGAAGGAGGTGATGTTCGCGTCTTTGCACATGTAGGCTCGGAGGTTCTGATATTATCGCTAAAACGTTCCCAGAATGATGCGTCTTCATCACGACTTTTACCAAAAGCAGGGTTAAAGCCAGACGGGGACAGCCTGCAGGTCCTGCAGCTGCATCCCATCGTCCATGACTCACCGTGTACGGACTCACACTGATGTTTACACCTGGACGTAACCTGAACAGAACAGTTTAAAAAAAGCCTTTGGCCAAGAGAAAAACGTTCATAAAGATGAAGAATCGTGTTCAGATTTTTATTGTGAAGTTAAACGTTGACCTAAATGATGTCATTTCCAATAAAAGGCATGATACTCACTCAGCATTCAAACAAACACGTTCTACTTTATTTTGACAAAGTTGGGCAGAAAAACACTTTTAGATGCTGAAGCTGAACTTCTGTGCATTTTTGGTTCTAGAGAATTGTCTCAAAGTGATTCAAGTTTGGCTTTTATTTGTCATTGTGTTGAAGAGCTTTACACAAATATAAGTGACGGGATTGTAAATGCTAAGATTTTAATATTTTTGCTTGCCATAAAAGCGAAATGCTAACACAGTTCAACATGTGATGACCCAAATAAGCAGCGCGTACATAAAACTTTGCAAAAACATAGTTTGTTGTGTTTTCCCAAAACTCATGAAGTTCTGCTGATTTCAGACAGATTATTTGTATTAATTTTCTCCAGCTGAATCTGATTTTTCGGCTTTAGATCATCTGAATCCATCAGCCAGGAACATTTATCCATCCAGACTCCATTTTTAGGTTTTAGGATCATCACCCAGCAGAAGTAAACCGAAGGTTGAAGATATTCTGTCATACTCTTTCAGAGGTTTGGTAAAAGTCAGGTTTGTGAAATTGTAATTGTACATTTGCAGAAGAGACATTTGAAGTTCCTGAGACTCATTTGAGGAAGTTGGCTTCTTGCTGTAAACCACAGCGAGTTTTTTTTACATGACTTCAGTTCCTAGCAGCTTCAAACCCTGAGATGAATGGACCATTCAGGAAATCATAACTTCATGCATATATATGTTCATAAAGCTTCTGAAGCGCTATTTTCTCCTTTAGGTTCCTTTCCTCCCTCCATCCCTGCTCCAACAGCACCTCGTCCTGTGGCGCTCTAACGTTCAGAAGGTAAAGGCCACTGAGTTAGCGCACTGCTAATGTACAACATGTCTCCAGATGTTCTGCTTAACTTCCTTAATCCTTTAAAGCCGCATCAGGATTTGCCTTCGGCTGCAGCTTCTGGTGCACATCAGCGTCTGCAGGTGTTTGGTGGGAAAAGTTAGAATTCTTCCCGATACAAGTTCTGATTCCTGCAGGGCGTTGTTTCCGATACTCACAGCAACAAAATAAAGTATTCATGCTGCTGCAGGGTTTTATTAAAGACCAAGTCACCCCCAAATCAACTGTTTTTTGCTGATAAACTAAATAAGCGAGTGTCTAATCATGCTGTAGACACGTGTAGTCAATAATTTGGCACTTCAGTGCATCTTAGTTAAAATTTAAATTTTCTGCCTAAAACTGTCAGCGATGCACCGTCGTCAGGTAAAAACTCTGCACTGTATTTGAATTTAAATCTGCCATTGCTAGTGGCTAAGAGGTATGCTATGATGTAAACTGGTACATTATGACGTCACAATGCTGTTGTGAGCCTGCATGTGTGTGTATTTGTTAGTGGCTCCGCCCTCTCGGTCTGCCTGGCAACAGCATTTGTTGCATTTTTCAAACATGAAGTGGGAGTGGAGTTAGACTCTGGTAGGGGGTGACTTGCTCTTTAAAGAGCAAGTCACCCCCACCAGATTCTTACTCTACTCCCACTTCCTGTTTGAAAAATGCAACAAATGCTGTTGCCTAGCAGACCGAGAGGGCGGAGCTGCAAACAAATACACACATTCAAAACATTGTGACATCATAATGTACCATCTAACATCATAGTGTACCTCTTAGCTAATAGCGACGGAAGATTTAAATTCAAATGCAGTGCTGAGTTTTTACCTGACGACGGTGCATCGCTGACAGTTTTAGGCAGAAAATTTAAATTTTAACTAAGATGCACTGAAGCACCAAATTATTGACTACACGTGTCTACAGCATGATTAGACACTCGCTTATTTAGTTTATCAGCAAGAAAATGTTGATTTGGAGTGACTTGCTCTTTAAGCTGTGGGGTGTCCACCTGATGCTCTCTAATAAAATATGTTTGCCTACAGGAAACAAATCTGTCAGGTGGTGCACGCGACGTTCCAGTCAGTCATTTTAACTGTCGTTGCTGATTTAGCACCCAGAGACCACGGGCTGAAAAAAGGATTTACTAATGGGCCATTCCCATCTGTACCGGGTCGGCCCGGGCCGGGTAGCGTAGGTTGTTTACATATCTGGGTGGCCTGGTATTTTTCCGGGCCAACCAAGGCTCATTATCAGCCCTCTTCTCGAGGGGGTCTGCTTCAGGCCGACCAGGACCAACACACCCACTGCTGACAACAAATTCACACCTTCCATTAGAGCAAGCCTCTGATTGGTAGGTAGAATCAGCCCACATGGGCTTGAGACAAGGATGTGTGGAATCAACCGGGCCAGGCTGGGGCCGACTGGGGCTACCCGGCCCGGGCCGACCCGGTACAGATGGGAATGGCCCAATATATGTTCATTTTTATGATGGAGCATCACTGGAGTTAGAAGAAAAGACAAATCAATCCGTCATGGGAGGGTTTGCAGGAGGATGTTCGCAGAGCCTGTTGTTAGAGAAACTAAAGAGCTTTTGGAGGAATCTGGAGACGTGCTTCAGGTCCATCAGCCAGCTGCAAATGTTCTCCGTGAGCCAAGATAGCAGATCATCAACAGGGAGTCTAAGCCACGCCCACCCACTTCCGGCCCATGGGTCAAAAACATGAAATGGAGTCTATAAGCCAATAAAAATTATTTTCTGATCCCGTCTGATGTGTGCCTGGCTTTCACACGAGGTCCGTGAAATTCAAACACACATTTTGATGCCAGGAAAGCACTTTTTTCCAGCAGGCAGCAAAAGTTACTTTAGCTTTTGTGCGAACAGACGTAGAGGACTACAACCGCTCGTCTCACCACAGACGTCATCTAACCAGATACGGAGAAGAAAAATCTCTGAGTTTAGTGAGCTTCACGTCCTTCTTCCAGGACAACAGAAGGAACATTAAACGTGGAGAAAAGCACCACAAATCAGGTCATGTGGTGAGTAGAAGCCACGCTGAGGTAGAGGAGATCCTGCTGTGATGTCATATACGAAACATCTCAATTGTAGTCGTTTTAAGTCACACATTTTTTACAAGCTAATAAATCTCAGATTACGTCAGAGTCAGCACAAACAACAGTTCTGGTCCTGGAGGGTCGGCATCCAGCACATTTTAGTGGTTTCTCTGCTCCAACACACCTGATTCAGGGGTTGAATCATCTGTGCAGCAGCTCATCAGGCTCTGCAGAAGGCTGTTAATCACCTGCTGATTGAAATCAGGTGTGCTGAAGCAGGTTACAAGTAAAACCTACTGGATTTTGCAGTGATTTGACACCATATAAATAAACTAGAATTTAACTGAATTGAAAATGATATAAGAAGGAAAATGTATTGTATATGCATACATATTTACTATAAATGTGACAGTTTTGCTCAATTGTGTGTGTCCACGTGTAATCTGAATTATTCACACATCGTTTACACCAGCCATCTCTCATTAAACAGGGAATCTCCTCCAACTGACTCACCAATATCACTCCTGGGGAGCTGGAAAGAGTGCTTCTGAACCTCAGCTTAACAGCCAATTATGTTAGGTTGCTAGGGAGAACTGGAGAATTATCAGCATCACTGCATTGAATGCTTCTGGGATGCTGGCCAATACTGCCCCTGCTACAGGAAATAGCTAGCTAGCATGCTTGAAGGGATTGATTTCCCTTTTTCCTCTTTCACTCACTCACTCACTCACTCACTCACTCACTCACTCACTCACTCACTCACTCACACTCACAAGTAGCTGCTGCTGTAAAATATGTTTATTTGGTCTCTTTTTTATTATAGTTAAAAACAAGATAACTTATTACATTTCTGTTGTGTTAGTGCCACCTACTGGTGGAGCTGGGTATTGTGGTGGGAGCTGCACATGCTTTCAGCACAATGATCTGACCACCTCCTTAGCAAGTCAAGTTTTGCAGAAGCTTGCTAATGACCTAATTTAAACCAGGTGTGTTTAAGCAGGGAAAACTCAGCATGAAGCACAGTGGACCTTGAGGGCCAAGACTGAGGGGTATTACACTACAAAAAAATATAAATTATGTAAATGTTGATAAAGATTCCATGAATTATGATGCCAGGATGTGTGCAGATGGAAAATTTCGCCTGATGAAACCATAGAGGCTGCAGTTTCAGGGGATTCTGCTTAGTGACAGCAGTGGAGTACCATGGAGCCCCAAGAACAAAATATAAATCTACCTTGTGTGTGTGTGTGTGTGTGTGTGTGCGTGCGTGCGTGCGCGTGCATGGGTGTGTGTGTGTGTGTGTGTGGTATCTGGCCTAGCAGTCAGCAGGGGCAGGGCCCCATAAAGGGAGTCTGAGGCTCTGCTTCTTCCAGAAAGGAAGAGCAAAAGGAACAAATGTTATTGTGAGCATTAGATGGATTTTCTCGCTCTTTCATCAATCAGATTATTCTCCAGTGCTTCTCTACAGCAGGCACTTCCAGCCTTCATCCTCTTCCCCCTCCCATCAGGAAGACGGCTACACATACATCCACACACACACACCCTCCCGTGTGAGTGTCAGAATGAGTTTGGTGCTCTGGCCAGTCAAGGTGTGAGCTGTATGTAAGAGCACAGAGACCACCAGCAGCTGATTCAGCTTCTGAAAGGCAGATTGAAGAGAAAAGAGGAAGTGTGTGTGCGTGCGTGCGTGTGCATCCTGGCAAGTGGCTTCAGTCCACAGGTCATTAAATGGAGCTGTCAGCTGATCCATGGCTGGATGGATCCCCCCCAGCTCTTCTGGCATGTGTGTCCCAGATGAACAGCAGCAGCTACAGCTCCGTCAAGCAGCAGGGCTACTCTGCACACCTCCTCATCCGGCACAAAGAGAAACTGGAACAAGTGAGCCACATGACACTTATGCTCAATTTGTAATTCAGAGAATTAAAGAGAAAAACCTGTTAAAATCAAGTTAAAGTCAAAGTCCCTTTGGTTGTCACTCACACTGATGTGTGTGACATTTGTTCTCCACATTTGACCCATCCTCTGGGGAGCGGTGAGCTGCAGCCGTGGCCGCGCTCGGGAACCATTTGGTGGTTTAACCCTCCAATCCCATCCCTTAAAGCTGAGTGTCAAGCAGGGAGGCACTGGGTCCCATTTTTTCAAGGTCTTTGGAATGACCCCACCGGGATTTGAACCCTGATCTCACAGTCTCAGGGCGGACACTCTACAGCTAGACCATTGAGCTGGTAAAGTGGTCCAGTGGTCCACTGGTTGTGCAGCACCAGGTTAAAGGTCAAAGGTGACAGATCATCTGCTGCTGTGGTCCCCAGACTCTGGAACTCTCTCCTCCCGAGCCTGAGATCAGTGGACTCAGTGGTCTCCTTTAAACTCACCTGCTCAGGTGTGGTGGGACCTTCACCACCTCCCTCTCCTGGTTCTGCTCTTTCTACCTATTCCTCCTTTCCTGGGATCAACTGATTTCCCTCATTTCTGTTCATTTTCTCTCTTCCTTTCCTCACATTTTTAATCACTTTTTTTCTAATTTCAAGCATATTTTTGAATAATTTTTAAAAATCGTTTTAATATTTAAATTTTTTTTTGTTTTTGTGA